AGGGTAGAGAGAATGGTGCAGCAATGAAGGAATGAAAACCCAAAATCCCTGTAAATGTTCATTAAAACTAATAAAATTTAATAATAAAAAAAGATTTTCTATTATATTTAAACAGCTTATGTGATTTAGGTGTGTGGTTATTTTTTAACAGTAATGTTAATACCCAAGTATGTCTCTGCCATTTAAAAGCAAAATTCTTACATCTGTAAAAATTTTGCATTTGATAGTTAGAAAATTTAATTTTTCAAAATGTATTTGGGGATGATATATTTGTACTGCTGTTGTTGCTGTATACCATCGAATGGCACTGATCCTAGCTGACCCTCTAGCAGGTTTTCAGAGACAGTACATTGTGTGGGAGGAGACTGCCATCCTTCTCCCGTGGAGCAACTGGTGGCTTTGAACCATGTGCCTTTGGGATTGCAGCTCAGCTTCTTACCACTAGGCCAATACTAGCACGAAATGCATTGTGATATTTTTGTCCAAAGATCCATATAATTCTATTGGAAAAAAAAATCTATTTTGAAGAACACATTATGTCATCTGCCTGTTCTCATTTCTGGCTAAATCAGAGGATATCGATGTCATCTGCAGCCAGGCAACCTAAAAGGTCACATCTGTGTCTTGTCGATACTCGGGAGTTTTCACTGTCCTGTAGTGTCTTTGAAAGGAAGCAGTAAATGCACAGGCTGTGTGAGGACTAAGCATCTAGAATTATTTTTACTTGATACTCCAATGGACATATGTATATGGTCAGCAGAGAAATCAGCCCCAGCGGTGCTGGGAGTGAAGAGCAGGTAAGGGCGAGAGGAGTGGGGACACTGCCATGCGTTTACTTACGATGCTGGCCAGGTGCTTCTGGTTCTTGGAGTGCTCTAGGGCCACGGTGTTGGAGGGCAGAATATAGCTGGTGGCTTTCACTTTATCCCACGCCTCCTTGTATAGGTTCTGCAAGGATTAAAAAAAATTTCTCTGTTAACATGGGAAAATTAATCTTCTGCCCTTCTCAAACACTCCCTTGCCAACTGCCACATCTTTTCAATTGGTAAGATTCAAGTACAACCAAGAAAATAACTGGTTTAGGATAACAGCTATGATTTCATAGTCTATTATTTCATTCTCTACCAAAGTAATATGGTGTCTCTCTGGAGACTAAGGTGCGTCAGATACAGGTCACGGCCTTTGCAATCACTTGTTATGCATCAGAGAATTGGAAAGTGACTAAGGAGGATAGAAGGAGAATTGATGCCTTTGAGCTGTGGTTCTGGAGAAGAGTATTGAGAGTACCATGGACTGCCAAAAAAAACAAACAGATTCATCCTGGAAAGGGTTAAACCAGGCAGTTCCCTGGAAGCAAG